TAGTACTTTAGGTTTCAGAGCTTGGTCCAAATAATAGAGCTCCCTCCTCCTCACTGCAGCTCCTCCAGTTCTCATGGATTTGAAACGTTTGTGTGGAATGCTGGGAACTGGGGGTGTGTCTAGACTACAGGTTTTTTTTGAAAAAAACTGGCTTTTTTTCTAAAAAAACTTCCCCTGCGACTAGACTGCTGCTGCGTTCTTTCAAAAGTAAATCGAAAGAACGCGTCAGTTTTTTTGACTGCAGAAAACCTTGTTTTACAAGGAAGAACGCCTTTTTTCGAAAGTGCTCTTGCGAAAAAAGGCGCTATGTAATGCAAATTGTACTTTTTCGAAAGAGAGCATCCAGACTGCCTGGGTACTCTCTTCCAAAAAAGCAGCTTGCTTTTTTGAAAGTACTGATTGTAGTCTAGACGTTCTTTTTCGAAAGAGGCTTGCAGTCTAGATGTGGCCTGAAAAGCTGAGTATATCATCTGACCTCACCCACCTTATGAGGATCTATCTTTGGTTGGACCAACTTCCATTGGTGAGACAGACTTTTGAGCTACGCAGAGCTCTTCTTCAGCTTTGTCTTGTTGGTGAGAGACAAATCTCAAGCTAAAGTTGGTCCAGTAAACAACAAAGCCTCACACACAGTGTTTCTAATATTCTGCAACCAACATATAGATCTTCCCAATCAGCTATCTCTTCTGCTGTTCCCCTGAGCTCATGAATTCCACCAATGCCTTTGTACCAGTAAAAAGGAGGCCACCCTCTTTGGCAGTCACACTCCAGCTGTGCCTGTGTAATAAATAGCTAGAAAGACAGCAGGGCTAAGGGAGCACCAAAACTCCTATTGATATAGTAAACTTAAAATGAAACAAAGTGACAGCAGGAAAGAAAAATAAGTGGAGTAGCAACAAGGAGTTGCTGACTGCATCTTCTTTTGGGCTTTACAGTGGAAACAAACTAGAATAATTTCTGGTAACCCCCCCCCCCCCCCATGGCCCCAGGAGGGTGTTACATATATGCAGAATAGGGGATTTGCTCACTTTATCACAGCAGATACATGTCATTTTTGAAAATGTTACCCCTAGCATGTAAATTCTTCGGTCATTCATCTGCTTTAATGTACCAAATATATTTTCAGTCTGCACTGAAATACAAAGCCAGATCCCGATGAGAAGTAAATCAGCATAGTTCCATTGAAGTCAGTGGAGCCTTGCTATTTTACACCTGCTGAAGCCCTTGCTCACGTTCTTTAAATAAATGCACACGATTAAATTTACAGTCCAAACTTATAACCAACCAATAAATTGCATCTAGGTTATTGTAGTAAATAGTAAACATGAAACTACTGTAGCTAAAGGGAATAAAAGCTTGTTTCCAGCACCTCCCAATTTTGAAGGTTTTTTGACTTAATGCTTTAGTTCCATTTAAGTGCCAAGAACATGAAGTAATCTTGGCTTCTATTAATCTTGTTTGGGTTGGGGGGGGGGGACAGCTTTTATGGGAAAAGCTGATAAGTATCAGTCTGTGAGTATGGGAGTGGATTATAATATAAATACCCCTTTTCCTGAATGGCCAAAATGAAAACATGAATGCCCAAGTCTAGGAGTTCCTTGGTATGAAAAGTGGTATGTGTATCCCTGCATGTGTCAGTGTACATATACGCACATTTTATACATTCCATGGCCTTAAGGGAATGTATTTTCTTAATGAAGCATACTGTGCGGTGTCTGCCCCTGTCTTAACTGCATCCTGAACTAAACTGAAGCTCAGGGACTAGCAGGAAAGTTTTAACATTGAATTGGTTCCACTCTTCTTCTGATTGACAGGGCACACTTCATCAGACTTAAAACCAACTTCCTGCAAGTCAGTCAGGGTGACTTGATAAAAAAGTGGAATTTAGGGCAATTAAGTGCAATTTGAGCCAGCAGAACATGTCTGCAAATTGTAGAAGTACACCCCATTCAGTGGCGTTCCAACCAGACACTGAAGATTTTTACAAAACACTTACTTAAGGCTTGAAGTGGCTACAGCATATTTCTAATGTAGTAGATGCTATATTGAGTAAATTCAAGTTATAATTATACTGGAATGGGATAAAGTACTATTAATGAACAGAAATCCTTCTGTTCATTTGCAGCTCCTTAGGAGCTGCAAATATCTGCATGGTGCAGAGACACATACCCCTGCAAAATATTAGAGGTGGGAACTTGAAATGGGATAGATATGATTTTAAAGGTGACTAAGGATTTAAGCAAAAAATTGAGATAGCCCCTAATTTTTTTCTCTTTATGACACATAAAGAAAATCTGGAAGCTGCTTATTTTTGGTTTTTAGTCTGGCATTCCCTAGTTTTGACACACAGTATTTTTGGGGGGCATGTACAAGGTATCTCAAAGATAGGCAAAAGGGTAAGGGATGTCAAAAATGTTTAATAAGGACATCCTTTTCTCCAAGTTCTGATTAGACATTGGATCTAGCCAGAGGAAACAATGACAAAAAGTCTTAAACACTGAAAAAATAAAAACCCTGGTCCCCTTCTCTGCTTTTGCTTTTTAGTCTTTTGTGATATCATCAGTTCTTCATGGTAGGAAAGGCATGCATTTATGTAGTTTTAACAAAAACATTCAACAGAAAACTCCTTCCTTTTTCATATTTTTGTTTATGGTCTGAAAAATACGTTGGGAGCTTCCTTTATAAAACATCATAAAGAAGCAAAAACGGGGGCAAACCAATGTATTGTTCTGATAACTTTTAAGCCATCTATTGTCATGGTAGGAACTATGATATAAGTTGTCAACACTAACCTCATGTCTTCTCATCATTCTTTTTACCCTCTTTGTGTTACTGGCTAGCCATTGTTCTGTGTGTTGATCAGCTCCCACTCCAGGTACACACTAAACTCTCTCCTGCTGGCAGAACAGGCATGAGGCATTTAAACAGGGCCATAACATAGCTGAGGGGGCGCAGAAAAATAATATAGAAAACTAATTATTTTAAGACAGCTACTTATTTTAAGACCGCGCCACTTCCCTCCCCCGCCCATTAGCATCGGCCAGCCCGCAGTTTACATGTCAGGCTGCACGTTGCTGCTCTGCGATCCAGTGGTCACCAGCTCTGGCAGTCACCCAGCGTGTCAGCTGCTTCTGAGCAGCTTGGGAGACCAGGCACCAGCTCAGCCATGCCAAGCGCCACCTTAAGGTGTCCTAGCGCAGTTCCCAGATGCGGGAATGGGGGAGAAGGGGATCAGATTGCCCTGCACAGGGGCAGAGGTGCAGGGGGTGACGTGGGGGTGTCAGGCTGGGAGCCTCTTGACAAACAAGAGCTAGCGAATAATATTAATTTCAACGCAATTATTGATGAGTTTGTCTCATTAAAAGTGTGCAAGGTACAATTATAAACAAATACCTAATAGTACCTGACATGGTGATATTTTATAATTATATGTATATATGTATTAATGTATTGCTTATGCAGCTCTCATAACTATAATAAATAAATGTTGTGTTATTATTATTATTACTGTTATTTGTGTATTTTCCCTTTTTTTTTTACAAAATAACTACTATGAATATATAAACATGAGGGGGCACAATTTTATATTCTTGCCTCAGGCACAAAATTAGCTAGTTACGGCACTGCATTTAAACACAGCAAAGACCCAGTGATGTAATTCTTAGCAACATAATCCTAGATGGTAATCTCCTCTCTTCTGCACCCCAAATCTCATAGGGTATGTCTACACTACCCCGCTAGTTCGAACTAGCGGGGTACAATGGGATTATCATATGAGTCAGGGGTGTGGCTTCCTCTCAGACTTTGTGGGGACAGTAGCTTGCTGATCCATATGGGTATGTCTACACTACGCGGCTACACGCGACACGGGCTAGATAGTTCGAACTACGTAGGAGTACAGATAGTTCGGAATGGCTACGTAGTTCGAACTATCTAGCCCGTGTCGCGTGTAGCCGCGTAGTGTAGACATACCCATATGGATCAGCAAGCTACTGTCCCCACAAAGTCTGAGAGGAAGCCACACCCCTGACTCATATGATAATCCCATTGAAACCATAATAGTAAATGAGTAGGATTTGTCCTATGAAGGGAGAATTTGACTGTGCTAGAAGCTATAGAAGCTATAGTGTGGCTCAGGGCAGTTCTGGAGTAACTGCAAAGAAAGCAACTATGCATACCACCATTTGTAAGTTTTGTGATCCACCATGTTTATGTCAATCATGTACATTCATTAAAAAAAGGAGATCTCTATGATGCAGACATTTGAGTAAAAAACAAGATAAAATTATTAATTTTGTTGCCTTGTGCTGGAGAAAGACAATGAAAATCCAAGGGATGTAAGAGTTTGTAAGCCACATTGTCACAATCTTCAACTTTTGTTTGATAAGAACAAGAGCAGAGACTAGAAGAGATAAATGAATGTCCCAACAATCTCAAGGGGAGTTTTGTCTGTGCTGGGAAATTTAGGAATGCAGCAGTTCAGATCCTTGCTCCCAAATAGGAATGGACTTCCATTGTGGTTGACCATTCAAATCCATAGTGGCATAATAGATCAATGCCTATTGAACATTTAGCTCCAGATGACTTTAGATGCCACTTCCTTCTGCCCTGAGTCCCCAGGACACCACTGCCTCATGGCTCCTATTGAGTTCTAAGGGCCTGACTCTTGGTTTGCTTGCACTTTGTGTAGGCATTTATACTAGTGCAACCACATCAGAAGGGGAACACTTTACCTTGCACTGGTGTAAATGACTACACATAGTGCAGGGCAATCAGAAGACAGTAAGGTTCAATTTCTTCCAGTTACCCTTGCAAAGATAGGTGAGGTATCCAGGTTTAAATGACTTACAAATGGCTGCACAGGGACCCAGTGTCTGAGCTGTACTAGAAACCAAGAGTTTTGATGCCTCATCCTGAAGATTTAACCAGTAGATCTTACTCCATCCCTATCTTTTCATAAGGTAAATGTCAGTACTATAGACCCCTTTTTGTCTTTACAGATTGCAGACTTTGGGCTCTCCAACCTCTATCACAAAGACAAGTTTCTGCAGACCTTTTGTGGGAGCCCATTGTATGCTTCCCCAGAAATTGTTAATGGAAGACCCTATCGAGGCCCAGAGGTAAGGGGGAAGTAAAATGAAAATTAATTTTACATTGATAGCAGTTATACGACTTGTATTTGGTAATAACAAGCATGAATATTCTGTCCTGATGATATCCTACACGTAGAAAAACTGGGCCTCTCGTAGATTGAAAGTATTCAAGCTGCTTTCTGTTATTTTCATTTGGTTTGCTTACACATTGTCAGCTACTAAATACCTGCATGCCGGTAACCAAGCACAGCTGGATGTTCTGTTGCTCTTGTAGAGCTAATGGTCTAGAAGACTGCAGGAATCAGCTTTTCTAGCCCTTATGCTCCTTGTCTATGTATTTTTAGGTCGACAGCTGGGCCCTTGGTGTATTGCTTTACACTCTGGTTTATGGAACGATGCCCTTTGATGGCTTTGATCACAAAAATCTAATCCGGCAGATCAGCAGCGGAGAATATCGTGAGCCAACACAGCCCTCAGGTATTAAAAAAAAGAATCGGTGTAATGCATTAAGATGACTGAAGTTGAGAATGGCTGGCTTCTCTGGCGTCCTCCTGCATTTTCTGGTGTGTCACTTAAGGATGAAAAGTAAAAGGATCTTCCATCCCCTCTCAAAGCATCATCTGCCATCAGTTCCCATCTGGGTAGAGCCCTTACCAAAAGCCCTTTTGAAATGAAAGTTTTACAGCAGATAGATTTTATTGCCTTATGGAAGTTTTAACAGGGTCTTTTAACTAGATCCATGACAGCGGAAAGTCTGTTAGCTATTGCAAGTGGAATTGTTCAGACAAGTTGTAAACCGACCCAAGGTCCTAATACGGATCAGTGTTCTAGTCTAACTACATTGTGGGATATATATCAAAAGCAGGGAGAAGATGAATAGTCACGGAGAAGCAACTGCTTGGCCCGAAAACTCATTCAGAAATCTGAATTTAATACTAATATATTCAAAATTATCGTTGCACCAGGGGATGCCACCCTGATAGAAAGACACCAAAGAATTCTGGTCATAATGGTCCCTTCTGGCAATGAAATTGTGAATCTATCAATAAGTTTTAGTATGCATTTAATGTTCATAATTTGTTTGCCACCATTTTTTATATTCTCCTTTCTGGTTATTCCTACCTAATTTGCTTGTGTAAATTAACCTATAGAAGACTATATTACAATTGCATTTAACTTTTTCTCCCCCTCCTTTCCCTCTTTGCTTTAAAAAAAAGATACAAAATCAATAATGTATATAATTTGAAATTCCAGCGTGCCCTTTTTTCCTCTAAGGCTTAACCTGATTCGATGTAAAGTTCAGTGTCTACACTAAATTCCTTTATTAATATGTAAAATCACTCAGCTGTTGACAAGCCAATAGTACGTTTGTTTCGATGTATCATGTGTCTATAGCTATGCAATATCACTTAATTTCATTTTCTGAAGTTGAATTGATGGCTAACTCTTCCCACATGACACCATCACTTCACCTGTTTTGAGAAGCATCATTTCTGTTCATCTGTCTTGCCCATATTTCCATTTTAAAATGTCAAAAAGCCCAAAGAATTCTATATTCTGACTATTTTCAATGTCATGCTTTAACCGTAGATGCTCGTGGTCTGATCAGGTGGATGCTGATGGTGAACCCTGAGCGCCGAGCAACCATTGAAGACATAGCCAATCACTGGTGGGTTAATTGGGGCTACAAGAGCAGTGTTTGTGACTGTGATGCCTTGAGAGATTCGGAGTCCCCACTGCTGGCTAGGTTTATTGACTGGCACCACCGTTCAACAGGCCTCCAACCAGAAACTGATACCAAAATGAAGTGCCTTTCCAAACCCAAAGGTTCCGAAGTTACGCTGGAGCGACAGAGGTCCCTGAAAAAATCAAAGAAGGACAATGCTGTTGTGCAATCAATCCAGGAAGGAGGAGCTGAGAACACCTCCAAACCAAGCTCTAAGAGGCCCAAAGGCATCTTGAAGAAAAGGAGCAACAGTGAGCATCGGTCTCACAGTGCAGGGTTCATCGAAGGAGTGGCTAACCCAGTGTTACCCTCCACTTTTAAGATAGAGCAAGAACTGTGTAGGACTGGTGTAGTCATTAAGAGTGCCATAGAGGGAGAGATAGCAAGCAAATATGGCACTAAAACGTCTTCCCTCATGCCAAAAAAAGGAATCTTAAAGAAGACTCAGCAGAGAGAGTCTGGCTATTACTCTTCTCCAGAACGAAGTGAATCTTCTGAATTGTTGGACAATAAGGATGAGACAGGAAACAGTGACACTTCCCCAGACATCACTGAAACTCCAAGAATTGGGTCTCATAGCCATTCCTACAGACGCAAGGGAATCTTAAAACACAACAGCAAGTATTCCACCAGTACCATTGACTCTGCTTTGGTCAGTCCCGAAACATCAATGGTAGAAGCAATGGAAGAAGGGATCCTGCCTGGGGATGGATTATCTCGAAGTTACAGTCGCCCTTCTAGTGTGATTAGTGATGACAGTATTATTTCCAATGACTCCTTTGACTTGCTAGATTTACAAGAGAGCAGGCCAAACAGGCAAAGGATCCGGAGCTGTGTCTCTGCTGAAAACTTCCTTCAGATCCGAGATTTCGAAGGACTCCAGAACCGCCCCCGCCCACAGCATCTGAAACGTTACCGAAATCGGCTGGGGGACAGCAGTTTTTCCCTTCTAACGGACATGGACGATGTGACTCAGGTCTATAAGAAGGCGCTGGAGATCTGCAACAAACTCAACTAGCACAGTGGAGATGGTGGGAAGGGAAGGGAGTTGTCGTGTACCTTTATGATGGAGTTAGCCTGGTTACCAATTTGCTGACAGTGATAGGGTCATCCAAATGGACTTGAATGTGCAAGCCTGAAAACCTTGAGATACATAAAACCTCCAAGTCTTCTCTTGAACATTATGCAAACTCTCTTTTAGTTTGCTTTACTGAAGTATGACCTAGTTTCCCAAGAAAATAATTCATATGTGATACAAACATACAGGGCCTGGATCAGTGGGCTCGTGCTCCGTGATGGAGATTTATAAGTACTGTGGTCATACAAACAAGCAAACAAACAAAATCAGGATCTGGCAGCCAAAAGCATAACATAAATTCAGATTGGAAATAAGGCATGTATTTTTAACAGCGAGGGTAGTTAACTAGTTTACTGAAGTGCTGTATTTTTCATCACTGAAATCTTTGCCGATATTGGATGTCTTTCTAAAACAGGGGTGGGGAATGCTTTTTGGGTCGGGGTTGCTGACCCACCAAAAAATCAGTCGGGGGCTGTATGCAAGTGAGAAGCAAAAACAAAAACCCACTCCCATATTCCCCTCACACATATGCCCCTGGGGGCCCAGATTAGTAGATTATGTGTGCTCTGGCCCCCCAGTGGAGTGATTGGAGCGCCAGCATGGGGGCCTCAGTGTGGGGGTGGGCACTGAGCCTCAGGGACCAGATCCAGGCAAGCTGTGGTTTCCCACCCCTGTTCTAAAAGATATACTCCAGTTCAGTCCAAAGTTCTTTGACTTGATGCAAGAATTACAGGGTGAAATATCTAAGGCCTGTGTTATGCAGGAGGCCAGAGCAGATGTTTACTATGGTCCCTTCTGGTTCTAGAAATCTCAGAATTTGCTATAGAAAGGGTAGTTTTAAATAGTCACCTCAGTGTGGTGTTCCTGGAAAATATCAGGCATGTGGCTACAGGTTCAGATTTTCCACCTACCATGTCATTCTCCTCACTAGTGAAGAGCATAGTACTTATGGTCAGATATGAACCGATCAGTGAAAAAATGCAACATTTGAAACCATCGTGTGAGCTAGAAAAAGTTGTATATTGCAAGTAGCTAATTGAGTCCCTACCCCCCTGCTCAAACACATTTAGTAGGGTTATGACATTTTCCAGATTGCCAGCCAAACAAATACCAAGGAAGAGCAGTGTTTTTCATAATTTCTCAAGGTTTAATTGAGCACAAAATCCAGATTTCAGTCATTTACACTGTCAGCAAATGGTGGTGTTTTGCTTATTAGTATGTATCTGAGAGTGGATAATAATTTGCCTTTAGAATGTTAGCTTAAGAAAAGGATTGTAGCATGTAGTAATGGACAGAGGACTGAAACTCGGTGAGAATGTGCCTTTTTCCAAATAAGGTTTCGAAGTAGGTAGTAGTGGAACAGAAGGAATTTGACCATGAGTACTGGAATGAGAACAGTCGACTTGATAAGAGATTTGGTGTAAAAATACAGATAAATACCTGTATTTGTAGTTGGTTCTACATGAGCAATGGTATCAGTCTGAAAAGGAGAAAAATGTATATGTTTCCTTGGATATATCTAAGTATCTAAACTTAAGGCTTCAACTCCCATAAAGGTACCACTTGGGTCTACTGGATTACCTGAATGTAAGCCTCGGTTAGCAAGGCACTATGTGTTCGACAGGCCTGGGCAAACTGGAGTCATATGGCCAATTTTTGATCTTATTTACATGAACATATGCTCTTAGGCTTTACTGGGGCTACACTGGTGTGACTGCAGACAGAATTTAGCCTGTGAGGTCTAATTGGCAGCAGCTTTAATGGTCTAAACACACACAGAACTGGAGATTAATGTGCCATATTCTGGTCCCATCTTTATCCCAAACTTCAACTGGGAGTAGTATTTGGCCCACTCTCTCTGAGCATGCTCTAAAATCCTACAAGCCATGGAGAAATACTACAAATTTCAGTGTGGGGTTAGCTGAGAATCCAGAATAACAATGTGATTGGATTTAAGAGAGAACAAAGAGCTGCTGTATTGTTCATTGCCTTCCAGCTCGAAAACTCCTTATTTTCTGTGTCAGAGTACGGGTTGAACCTCCTTGGTCCGGCACCCTTGGGACCTGACCGGTCCCAAACGAGGGGATTTGCTGGACATGGGGCCTCCCCCTCCCTTCCTTACTGCCAGTTGCTTCTGGCCTGCACCTGGTCCCACTGCCCCTAGGCTTGGGCTCCAGCCCTGGACCCACTTCTGCTGGACTTCAGCACCAGGCCCCCTGCTGCCAGCCCGGCCAGGAGTCCCTGCTGCTCAGCTGGGGCCAGAGCTCCTTGGTGTCCAGAGCTCCCCACTGTGCCTCCATTCCTGCCATTGCTGGGGCCTGGATCGGGGCTGGAGCTTCCCTATGCATGTCTAGAGCTCCTCCGTGACCAGAGCCAAAGCTCTCCACTGCATGGCCAGAGATCCTCAGCAACTGGGGCCAGAGGTTCCCACTGCTGCTCTCCACTGTGCCACCAGACCCTCCCCCTCTCCTTGACCCTCCCTGCCATGCTGCTGACCTTGCACCAGACCTCCCTATCCCCGGGCTCTGTGGTCCAGCAACATCCATGGTTCTGCCAGACTAGGGATGTTGCCGGACCAGGGATGTTGCCAGACCAGAGAGTACCGGTTTAGGGAGGCTCCTCCTTAAGGTTAGGTGAATTAACTGGCATAAAGGTGGGTGAGTTTTATTTCCTTGATTCACCTTGTCTGTGTCAAGGAGAGAGTCCTTCCTCCATGAGACACTGGGCCAAAATTCAGCTCTGGTTTAAGAGGCATCCACGGGTGTTCTGTTCATACAAAGCAAGATATAAGTGCTCACTGTTCTCTTAAGAGGGGATATTTCAGTCCATTCTTTTATTTATGGACATCGTTCAGTATAACAGTGAGGCATCCTGTCCTCCCAAATGCATACATGTGTCATATTGTTTTTGTCCCTCTAAAGTCTATTTTGAAGGGTGCACTGTTAACAGGTCTGCCATATTCCATTTTAGGGAAACTTGAACTAGAGCCTACCTGGTTTCAGCACTTCGGATGAACATTGCAGCTTTGGGCAAAAGATGTTCTTGATGCCCTGGGCTGTGTCTTCACTGGGCCACTTATTCCGGAAAATCAGCCGCTTTTCCGGAATAAGCTGCGAGCTGTCTACACTGGCCCTTGAATTTCCGGAAAAGCAACCATGCTCTACTGTACAAAATCAGCCGCTATTCCAGAAAAACTATTCTGCTCCCGCTCGGGCATAAGTCCTTATTCCGGAACACTGTTCCGGAAAAGGGCCAGTGTAGACAGCCCAGTAGTCTTTTCCGGAAAAGCGCGTCTACATTGGCCACAGACGCTTTTCCGTAAAAAGGGCTTTTCCGGAAAAGCAGCCTGCCAATGTAGACGCTCCTTTTCCGGAAAAACTGAAAACGGAATACTATTCCGTTTTAAGCATTTCCTGAAATTCATGCCAGTGTAGACACAGCCCCTGGAGTATAAGATGCCAGACCCTGATCGGATGTAAATCAGCCTTGTTCCATTGACCTAATGGAACCTGGCTTCAGTAGTTCTACACTGATTGACACCAGCTTTGAATCTGGCTCTACGTGTGGAAAGCAGTGGTTCTCAAAAATGCTTTTTTCGTGGACCACTAGAAAGCTTCTGAGGGTCTCAGCAGACCATTTAATGATCTTTCCAAATGATGTGTGTACCATTAGCTAAATATTGTTAAGGGGATTTGGATAAAAAGCGCTATATAAAAACATTAATAATTAATGCTTTTATTCTACAAAAAAGTGTACAACTCATATTTTAATATCAATAGGGGTCTCTCCCCCACCACATGAGCCACTGAACTGAGGCTAGGAAGGAGGGCCATCTCTCCTTGACAGCCACATCCCTGGAGGTGGGGAAAGTTACCTCTTTCTCTGACTGCCGCAGCCTGCACATCCCAAATTCCTCATCTCCCCTTCACTTGTCTATTTTTCCCCCCACCTCACTCACCCACCCACATGCCCTCTAATCCCCCAAAGCCACCTCCTCACCTTACAGGTGAGAGGGTCCAAGGTCCAGGCCAATGTTCCTCCTATTTTTTTCAGCCATGTGCAGAATACATTTTCTTCTGTGCACTGAGGCATGTGCAGATGTGCACCATCAGTAGAAACACCTGCTGCTGCTTATGGGCAGCTAGTAGAGCTACGACTGCAAGGCACTAATTAGGTGGGCAGCCCTTCATTTTCTTGTGTGTGGCCGCTCAGCTTATACCTTAGAGGGAACTATATGCGGACCACCTCTGGTAGAAATGATTTATACAGGTTCAAAATGAGGCAGAGGAACCTCAGCTTGCTGTTGTAAGGAAATGAGAAGTGCCCCAAATACTCAGCTCTCCCCAGGCTTTTGCCCAGGCCTGACATCTTGTGTACAAATGTGAATGAATGATTGACTGCTTGGTGCCAAACTGGAAATGTCATGTAGGGATTTACTGGCATGTTATCATTCCTAGAAGAATAGAGAAAAAAAAACTTGACTGCACATTATTACTAGTGTTGTGATTTTTATTTAATTTTTTGTAATACAAAGTTGCCTTTTTTATTTGAATTTGTCTTTTTTTTTATTTATTGGTCTGAAAGCCATTTCAAAAAGGTATAATAATATATTTGGTGTAATTTAATTGATGCAACATTATTTTACAGCTGCAGCCAAAATGGTTTTGTTTTGTTTTCCACTCATTGGTTGACACTAGAAGGCACACAGGGAAAACGCTGGATAATCACCCAAAGTGTTTGTATTTTTAATCTGATACTGTTTTTTATTAAATAAAAATAAAATGAACTGAATGTAAGATTTTTTTTTCTCTTTAAATGTAGATCAACTGTGGCCAAATACTAATGAGCTTTTCATGCAAAAAATACAGCAGCATCTCCAGTAAACTGTGTCGAGTTATTTACTCAAAGCTTTTGGCTTATTTGTATGTTTGAAGAAAATATGGGTTGTCACCTAGACTTGTAAGCATGGAGAAAACGAGCTAACTGCAATCTGCTTTCTTGGAGAGTGAGATCCATGAGCCAGGTGTGCCGTAGGGAAGGGCAAGACAGGCAGTCTCGCAGCCAGGCCATGGCATGTATATTTAAGACTTCAGCGGTGATCCCGGCCCATCCTTGGTCAGGAAAGAAAAATGTATTATTATTTTAAATCTTCCTTCTGATGTAATCCAAGGCCCATTTTGACAAAACAGCCATATGTTGCTATCAGATGAGCTGTGGTTTCAGACATACGGCTTTCAGCAGGCTGAGTGGTTGGCTAGTGAAAGACAAAAAAGGAGTTTCTTTTTGATTGAAAATTGTCTACTTGAAAATTGGAGGCTTTTGATGCTCAGAGATGAACTCTTGGGGTATGTCTACACTACAAAGTTAGTTCGAACTAACTTTCATAGGCGCTACACTAGCGCTCCGTTAGTTCGAATTTAATTCGAACTAGCGGAGCGCTTAGTTCGAACTAGGTAATCCTCATTCCACGAGGATTAAGCCTAGTTCGAATTTACTAGTTCGAATTAAGGGCTGTGTAGACCCTTAATTCGAACTAGTGGGAGGCTAGCCCTCCCCAGGTTTCCCTGGTGGCCACTCTGGCCAACACCAGGGAAACTCTACTGCCCCCCTCCCGGCCCCGGACCCCTTAAAGGGGCACGGGCTGGCTACGGTGCCCATGCCAGGTGCACACTTGCCAGCACCCAGCTAGCAGACCCTGCACCTGGCACGGATCGAGCCACCCACCCAATGCCCCCCAACCCTCCTCCTCTTCCCGGGACCAGGCTGGTGGCTCTTGGGAGCCTGGCCAGGACCGCAAGAGGCGGGCACCCGCCTGGTCTAGTGCAGACATCGTGGACCTCGTCCACTAGGCACACGAAAGCGG